CAGAAAATTTAAACAGTCCGCAAACCTTATTGGAGTCGCAAAGAGAGAGAGAGAGAGAGAGAGAGAGAGAGAGAGAGAGAGAGAGAGTGAGAGAGAGAGAGAGGTTGAAGGACCATATAAGTCTTGCATACAAAGAAAAAACAAAAAAAAAAGCCTTACACTTCGCCATCTTTTCGCACAGAATGGATGACTCCACAGACAGCCTTTATGGATCGCCGTCTTTTCACACAGAATGATTAGACTAACTTATGCATCTCTCTCTCTCTCTCTCTCTCTCTCTCTCTCTCTGTTGCGATGTTCGCTATGCATAACCATCATTAAACGATGAGTTTGCTAGTCTGTTTCGTCGGACTTTCACCGTCAAGAAGTTACGCGTACCTCTGTGACCCCGCAACTAAACACGCAGTCGTACCCGTTGGCTTACCTCAGCACGCCCCCTTTATAGTGCACTTTCCAGAACCTCCCCCAGGCTCCGGCGCCCTGTCCCCCGTGCAAAGACAGATGCCCGACAAGCCCACGTGCAATTGCTCGCTCCAACTGCCCGTTTCCTGAAGAGAGAGCGCACTTGAGTTTCTGCACCCTCTCATGCACGTGTGTCCTCCACCCACCACCCACCCCCCGCAATAGACCAAAACTCCTCGGCAGTTACGTGGTGGTTAACTTGTTGGTATGCTTACTCACACTAGGCCCTTAATATACAAATAGCATGGGACATCATCATTCAGTGCAATGAACCCAGCCAATACGTATGTAACGAATTGTTGGCGCGAGAGCGAGGGCGGGACCGGACGCTTGCCTGCTTGGCCTCTTGGCGGGTTGCCTGCATAGCGCGAGAAGTACGAGCTCTCTGCTGACACTCGTAGTTTTCCGAAGTCCGCCAATATTTGGGGCCTCGCTCCACTGCTCAACACTCTAGATGCACTTGGACGATTTCAGCACAAGGTGCATTCGGACGAGCAAAACATTTGAATGTATCTGGTCCAGCTAACTGTCAAAATGCATGTATAGTATTGTGTAGTGGAGCAAATGCCCTTGGTTTGCTTTCTCGGTGAGTGGGAAGCACACCCGAAGCCCATTTGTAGCGGACCCACCAGGTGTGGTGCTCCGCTAGTGACACAGATGGAGATGGAGGAAGAAGCGGGGGGACCGAGATGGCACAAAGCAGCTCCCCACGCAAGACTCCAACGCACGTGCTCCAAAATGTTCAAGTGAAGAATGAGTGTGAAAACAGACAATGGCTGGGGTATACCCCAGCAGGCTGACGGGACTGGACTGGACTGGCTGGTACCGACAGAGGTACCGGCCTGGACTGGCCTACCCCGAATACAACACAGGCCTGTGAAAACAGGCCAAGGGGCTAGTCTCACAGGCCAACCCGAGGCCCGCTACACCATTACAGTACTGAACGGCTCGATCGGTTTATTAACAGAGCTGCGTACGTGTGCGTGTGCGTATGCGTGTGCGTGTATGCGTGTCCGTTGTGAACCGCAAACGACGCGCTATTTTTTTTTTTTTTTTTTTTTTGGCTTCAAACAGAGTTCAAGCCCTTCTCATTATTTTGCAAGAAAGGGTTTTCTTGCACATTTTCAGGAACATTTGTCTTTTCACCTCGTCTTTTGCCTCCTTTATCGAAAAACAGTTAAAAACACTTTCTTTTTTTGTAAAAAACAAAAGTTCAACTTTTATTTTTCCATTCTATAAAACATGTGAGGTTTTCACGAATCTACTGTTGTAAGAGAAAAAATACTTAAGATATGGATTATGCCAAGGATATAGATTGCAAAAGCTGTTATGTAATTTAGTACAAAAAACAATTGTGTGATGATGATGAATTTCAAATGTTAACAAGAATAAGGAGGAGGTCTRTTGTAAAGAGTGTGAGGATGGGGAAAGACAACTTTGGGGACTTTTGTGACTAGCTCATCGTGGATAAAGGAACGGTAAAATTTCATGTCTTCTTGACTAAAATCATGTTAATGAGACAGAGGGGGAGGAAGAAGAAGGTGTCGTGTTATGATAAGTAGAAAAACGCCACAGTCATATGAATTTCGTTGCTCTGAACCAAAGATATCGATTAGCAGTCTGTTTGTGAGAAGGTGGAGGAAATCAACACGGTTATGGAGCCAATGTTGCAACTTACGGAAAAAATATGAACTTGAGTTGTCATAAAAGTACAGTGTGCGGTTACAAATGTCGATGTAAGACAATGCCCAATGATTGTCATTGATGTGTAATGGCAAAAAGAAGTGGTCGAATGTTTCGAATGGGCGATTTTGTCGTCGACCGTCAATATTGTGGCCCGCAAAAGATATATTTCTGCGTGCAATTCCGTTTGCATATGTGAAGGTGTTTGTTGTGAAGACAGATGGGAAAATTTTCATGAGAAGGTCCATGTAATCATTGATCGGTATGTCGCTGAGCCATGATGTGCCATGCAAAGAGTGATATGGACATTGTAAGGAAACGTGTGATTCATTTGATGGCGGTATCCATGGTAAAATGATAATATGTGAAGGAATTTGGTATGCATGGTGTGTTGAAGGTGGTGAAGAGTGTGAAGGGGATGGAAAGAAAACGTTAGCGGTCATGGATTGGTGTAATGAAAGTTCATGGTTGTGGGAATGTTGTGGATTTTTGTTGTTAGTATAGGGATGCATTTGGCGCATGTTGTGCAATGTAGGTAATGAATTTGGATAAGCATGGATGTGCATAAAACTTTCAGTATGAAGAGAAGAAAAAATATTTTTTTGCAAATGCTTCAACTCAATTGTGTTCAGCGAGGATGAATTCATGCGGTTTGAAGTAAGCAACATGCTCCTTTGTGTTTTTTTTAGAATTAAGAGTGTTGAGCGGTTGACAACACGCGAGACGATAATATAACCTTGTTGTGGAACGTTATGTTTACATTTATGGTTTTAAGAATGTGCTTCCCATTCAGCAACAAATAGTGAGGACAAAGTTTCACCTTGTACTTTATATACAGTTGAAGAAATTGCGGAGACAAATGAGAATTGGAGCGGGCGTACACTGCATTTTCCTTCTGGAGTCTTTGGTGCAGTCAGAAGGTAAATTATGACAGGCTTATGGGGATGTTGTATAAAGACATGGTAAACATCAAGTGGCAAGTCAGTGTCGAATGCAGATGAAAACTGTTCAAAAGATGAACGGTGAGGGACACGCACCCAAACAATGTCGGGCGGATACTTAGGGAAAAGAACGTATATGTCAACATTTGTGTTATGAAAAATGACAAATGTTGTGTTAGGTGGGAATTGCAGGGAGTGAAGGAAACCGAAGGTGTCATTGGTTGTGCCACGCGCAGGATCAATCTTATGTGTAAAAAGCAACCGCATGTCATGAATAAGATCGAGGAATGGTGCAAAACCACCTAGTTTCTGATTAGGAAGTGACATTATCTAATTAATGTTTTGTCTTGTTTTACTTTTGAGGTTGTTTTTTAAATCGGCGATGACACGTATTGGGTGGTGATTTGTTGGCAGTTGTTTACATAATGCATGCGTGTATGAATGAATGAGGCAAAGACAGGTATCATTATCGAGTGCCATAAAAATTGGAAAGGTGTCTTTTTTGTTTGCACCGGAATTTGACGAAATTGTTGATCCAAAATTTTGAACAAAACGAATGTTAATTATGTTAATGAATTCTTGATTCTAAATGTCGAGCCTTGCATTCTTACAGTGAAAACCCCATTCGGGGTCTATTTTGAAGAGGACATTATTCGTCAAAATGACAATCGTGTTAAACATTTGTCAAAGTCTAAAAGCTTCGTAATCTGAATAAGTATGAGCAAATGATTGGTATGACTCTTTGTAGACAGGAGTACCTTTGATTGGAGGAGGTTAAAAGATATCACCTGTCGGTAGCATATGTATCCCACCGAAAGGGATGTCGAGTTTGCGAGCATGTGCCAGTTAAGCGCATGAATATCGCTTTGTCCATCTTACTAAATTCGTCGATAACAAGAGTGTTAATTCTGGCGTGAATCTTGTAATATTTTTCATGTATGCAGTGCGGCGGTTAAATCGATGCTCATGCTCTAGATAGTGCATGTTGGTCTAGCTGTGAAAGGTTACACCGCAAATAGCGACGACAACTTTACCTGTCATGACAATTTTTATCACACTTTTGGGGTGACGTTTAGTGAATGTTGCAATGAAAGCTATTACATGTGATTTACCTGTTCCGCCTTGAAGTTCGCCTGTGAGAAACATAAGTAATTGTTGTTGTCGTATTGTTTCAACAATGTTTTTCAGAGGAAGCGATGAATCAGAGTCGTCGGTGTTCATTTGGGACAGTCATATGTTAAGCAATGTTTGTGCAAGCAAATGGAATGTAAGATGTTGCTTGTCGTTAAGTGAAAACTGTTGCAAAATTTCAAAAATGAAAGGAAAACTTTTATTTAAAGTTACCCGTTCGTCCCATTCTTTTGGGATTTTTTTACAGTTCTCAAATCACAGTGCGTCAAGGATTAAAAGGACACGTGTCGGTCGCGACAAATCATTCCATTGTGTTTGATTTTTGCCTTCCTCTGTATATATATGTGGCGCGTTTTTTTTTCCCTTTGCGAACTGCTTCAATATGTTCAATTGCTTGACTTGCTAAGCATGTTGGAGGTGAATGATACATCTGTGACAATTCCTTGTATGCATTTAGCGTGAGAGAAGTTGATGATGTGAACAAATGTTTTTGAGAGATCGGAGTCATCATCGAGATGAAGTGCATGTTTAATTATTGGGATGTGCTCTGCATTGTATTCCTCATTCACATCATCTTTCGAAAAGTTATCGTCGGATGGAGGTATAATAAATGGTTCGTCTGTGAGAGACTCATTTGAACTGTTTTCCAAGTGTTCATTCTCATCGTCGTTATCATCACCCTGTTTCAGCCTGCTATTATAAGTGTCTTCAGCTCGATCGTGGATGATGTGATAGTCTTGCATGTGTAAATAAATGTCGCACACGAATGTTGGCATGTTTTCATAGAATGACATCAAATCATCATGTCAGTTGCTATCTACGGGCGCCAGGTCTGTAATATTTCGGAACGGTTTGATGCGCAGTAAAGTAAGTTGAGCATAGTGTATTTTTGCCGAATCATCTTCGCAAGTTTCGAAGCTTGGAATACGCGTGTAGTATGAAATTACAGTGATAGATGGTTGTCTACGGCGTGCCAGACACTTTTGCATATGCAATGAATGTCCTTTGAGGAAACGAGTATCGTCGTTGGGGTGAGTAGATTTATCTGTACGGTAAAAATGCATTATGAAGCCATATAGAGAGGTGTTGGTAAGCACAAGCGGGCGGAAGACGTAGTCGTCTAACGGATGTGTAATGATATATGTCTGGTTTATT